CTGTTTAAAATAATCATTCGCTTATTTAAAAAATATTGAACTGTAATGCGAAAGCGTGAATTATAAACCAAAAAATATTTTTTAAACAAAGTAAACTTGTGAACACGTTCATTTCTCGGCAATATTTCTCAACCGCACAAGTTACCTAATACATCAGGCCTCATGAAAATTAAGCTAATATACATGTAAACATTGTTACAATCCTATTCAAACTTTATAGCATCTAAGAATTTCGCACGCCATAATGCGTAGAACACAATTTTGTCGCCGGATATAGACAGTGGCACGTCCCTGCGCGTGCATTCCTTGTAACCGATAAGTTTGAATATTATAATACTTTACATTAGATCCAGTTCACAGCATTTTCGATTGATTCAATTTGAGTAGTAACCTTGAACGCGTGCGTTCATTACTCTGAATTTCCGCGTCGTAATTTTTTACGCTTCCTCCACTTTATCCTTATTTAATTTCCTACTGTTTGTGATGCCTTTGTCAAACTGTTAGGTACGATAGTACTGATTTTTCGGTGCATCGAGATAGTTTAATATAAAAATTTCTACTGACAAAAGATGGCACTTTAATAATCCTTTTGATTTAAAATGTTATGAGTATAACTTTAGCTAAAAGCACTCGGCAAAGGTCATGATCGGTGGCCTTCAGCCAACATTTCGTCGCAAATATTTTTAGCAACCTAACAGTGTCAAATGCGTTCACTCGTACAAGCATAAAGTGTCCAATTATTTGTGTTATTTTTTTTTTACCGATTTTTAATTAAAAACTTTTTATTAGTCTTTTTATAAAAAGAAAAGATCGTGTTGTTTGAAAAAAAAAACCTTGTGCAAACAAGTCTTTGTACTTTATAATTTTTTTTTTCATTTCTATTAATAAGACATGACAGGTTTTATATTTATGTGCATAGATATATAACTAAATCTGTGCAGAGATGTCAACAAGCTATCTATATGCTACACGTAAGAAGTGATAAGAGACTGGGCAATATCACAGGTTATAAATTAATACTTATTATAATACGTACTTACCGTACTGCGACTCTGACAGCACGGTATTAAAAAACTTAATCAGTAGTCTATGTATTCTGCTAGACTATTTGACATCTATGACAAATTTCATCGATATCCATTGCGTCGTTCTGGACCAATTCACTCCATACCTTCTAACAAACATCCATCCATTTAAACTTTCAGATTTATAATATTAGTAAGAAGTAAAATGTAACAATTGGCCATAGTAATAATTTAATGTAATTTGCTTATATTTTGGAAGCCAATCTGAAAGTTCTAGAAAAGTATCAAACTTGATGCGTTTAATTAATTGACCCAAAAGGATCAAAAGTCGACTATGTAAGCCAAGATAACAATTTCCAGTTTGGATTTAATTTTTCGTGTATAATACCGAAGTATTACATAATTTTTCTAAGACCGGATTTCTTATTTGATACTAGTATCGACTTGTTTCAGCATATCCCGATAACAATGTTTGACCGATAAACGTTGATATGTCTGCGCTATACTTTATCGTGGAATTCGCAAACGGCGCTCTGATTATAAATATAGCACATTTTTATCTATAAAAATACGATTCATAGCAAAGAAAGTGACAAAGTAATATAACTTATATTTGAATAATTTCCGCACTGCGACGTTTTTTTATGTTTTATAGTCAGATATGTTCAAATAAGACGAAATAAAATTTGAAGACGAATAAGACAACTGTATAATTCATTTTTCATACACTATTGATGAGATTTTCCATAAAATGTTAGATATTTTTGTGTTAATCCAAAAACAACAATCAAATTAATGTAATACGTTTGTATAAATAGCACCGGTATACCACTATAGAGCGTTGGTTGCTCAAGGGTTAAGCACTTGACTTGTAATCTGCAGGTCCTGGGTTCGAAAAAATTCAAAGATATGTGTTAAGTCAACCAACCCGCACTAGGCCAGCGTAATTGACTATGGCCTAGTCACCCCTAAACTCAGGGTTGACTCTAAGCCCCTCAGTGGGGATGTATAGTGAGCTGTTGATGTTTGTATAAACAGACCATGAATCACACGTATAAATATGTCTCCATCAATCTTATATTGTTGAGTCTATATGTATGATAGCGTAGTAAGTTACGCTATCATTTCGCATTACATTGTTTTGCGACGCATTTTCTCGTAGCGCGCAGATGCGAAGTTCCAAAGTGCACTTCACGCAATCAATACGATGCAGTACAATACTGCGACGCTAATAGCTAGGCTAATATCTAGAAATTTTAAAACTTTTAGTACTTGGTAGCCCGCTACTCCTTTTGCGTGGAATTTAGAAAAAAAAACGTAATAAGCCTATGTGTTCTTCCAGACTATGTTCTACATCTATGCCAAATTTAAGCGAGATCTGTTGAGCCGTTTTGGGATACCTTCTAACAAACATCTATCCATCTAAATGAGTAGATTATAATATTAGTAAGAACTAAGATATAATATTTTTGTAGAATTAGGTACCAACTAGATTTCCCAACAATTTCAAAACATTATACAGTATGTTCAAAAAGTGGTTTTAATAAAAAAAAAACAATATTTCAACGAAAATATTTTAATAGTACATATTAGTAATATTTATTGTTAGCGAAGGACGATGTCTTTATAAATGATAAAAAAATATAGGTCGTGTGATTATATGAAAATAACAATAGGTATTCGTTGATCAGTACGTGACCTTAATTATATTTAGACTATCTTAATGTATGTTTATATGAGTCTGGGCTCTTTATCATATACCACAATATTAACTGCGCCAAAACGCTGTCATATAAAAAGTATTTTTTACACTCCTTGAATTATATCAATTATCGTAGTAAATAAAGGAAACATTTTCGACTATAGGACAACGTTAAGCTGTAAAAATTCTAATAGAGCACAATCAGTCTAGAAAAAGTGCATTCGCTTCGAAGCAATTCCATAACGAACTTCAAATGTATAGAACTGACAATAAGTTCCGATGAGTCAAGTGACTGTCGCACGTAACGCGAAACGAATGCACTTTGTCTAGCCCCCTAGGGAACCCTTTTTTTACGGCCCTCAAGATTCCATTCCGAATCTGAATCTAAGATAGTCGAATTATCTATTACGCATTTGAAACTATTTTGTAACGTAAAATTCTGGAATAACTGTCTTATTATCTAAATGAAACTAGACAATCGTGGGCGTGGTCGTATGTGAACATATTATATGTAGTTCGGACTCGGAGGCGCCAACTAACTAGTGCCAAAATATTATGCAATGTGTAATGTTTTCAGCGAGGACGGTGTCGCGGGCGACAACTAGTATGCAATTAACTTTGAGTCATGCTTGACTTTTTATCTATTATATTACTGCCAGTTTTTTATTTTATAAAAAAAACAGTGAATTTATTTTGTCACGATCTCGAAAACCGATTGTAATTCATTTTTTTTATTTTTAGGATGTCAGAGACAAACATTTTTGTTTTGTAACTACGCATTTCCTATATATTTTTCTTCATCGGTTCCTACTGTAGGTACAATTTCTCATAACTTTTTAAACTTTTTCTCTGTGATATTTAAAGTTCTCTCGGACTTTAATGCCTTAATGAATTTGGTCCTGATCAATCTATGATAACAATAGAACAAAGTCCAACTTCAATTGAACTGGTTGAAAATATTATTTCTGTTCACTATTGTGACATTATGGTTCAAAATTAGGTTTCATATAACCAGATTATAAAAGAAGCACTAGATTATCCTTGTTGCTGTCTGGTAATAACTAGTTAATACTACGTAGATATCCTAAATGTCAGTACCTAGATTTGACTATATCATTGTCTTGTTGGCTTTTGTTACTTACGTGCCTTAGCCTTTAAGAACAATAAAAAAATATTTGCAAAAAGTTCCGATGTCGAACATCATAACGTTACAAATATAAACTGTTCACATGACTGCGTGTTTTGTTGGGTGCTATATTAGTCCGAAGTAAATTTAGTCTGCAACAATTTATTGTTGCTGGGACATCCAATTTTATTATATATTCGAGTTTATGAAATAAATCTGCATAATGTTTTAAGGGTAAATAATTTTTATCGACTTTCATTTTGTTTTTTTTTAAATCTTATGTTTTCTTAAAACGATAAAAATAATGTTGTCTCTTTTATTTCCAGCCAGCTAGTCGTGAGAAAATGATGTCGCGATCTGCTTTCGTGCTTGCTGCGGTCGGTCTCGGTCTGTCCACGTTCAGCGTGCGTCAAATGATTCTCCACCAATCCAGAAGAATCTAGATGCTTGCCCGCAAACAACACATAGAGCATTTTTAGGACCCACTAGACCGCTTCATCCATCCCAATTGAAGCTCGTGATGTTGCATAAGAGAAAATGATTTTTGTTTTATGTTACGCGTCTTAGACATTTCGAAGAGAATGAATGTAGTTAAAACGTTTTAAATGTAGGTGGAATTTTAAATTGTCTATTAGATTATTTATTTTTGTGCTGTGTACCGATTGTGATCTCTTTTTTTTGAAAAAAAAAATGGAAAACACGCATAATGTACAGAGACAATTATTTTTGCTTCTTGTCGCTTTGTAATTTGCTGAACGAAAGGTTATGAAAATTAATTTAAGTTATTGTATGGACGAAACTGTAAGTAGGTTGATTGGTTTGATATTTAAATGGAGAAAGTGTCTTGCAATCGTTCTAATTGTGATGGAAACCAAATAAACATGTATACAGACTTGTTTTTTTTCTATTATTTAAAGCGTTTACACCAAAAAGTTTTGAATGTTATCTCAATATGAGGCGGGGCTTTAAAAAAATAAAATAATAGTAAACAATTTATTAAAATTAAATTACAAACAAAACAACACAATCTGTACTTCAAACATCATAATATAAAAAAAAATGCACATCAAATACAATATTTACATTAAATGCCTTTTAAAACATAAATTTCTGTAGTAGCAAAATATACAACATTTTCTTCATGTAAAAAAATGAACCAATAATATGGTGTACAGAAAATTTTCAATAATTTGAACTATAGTATCCACAATATGCATATTTCAGAATTTGTCCACTTTTATTACTACAATAAAGTATATTTATACTTTATGGTACAGGAGAAAAAACGTTTGAAAAGTAAGAATTTCAGGTCAGCTGATTTTGTCATATGTACGGCCTTCTTGCTCTTTCGGTTAAATTCTTTCTGGCTGGCGGTAGAGGTTGCGTTCATTAGTGCATCCTACCTGTCTAGGTAAAAATCCTGGATTGTAAAAACACTAACCGAAAGACCAAGGAGGACGACATATCACAAAATCAGCTGACCTGAAATTCTTTCTTTTCAAACGTTGCTAGCTCCTGTACTATTAAGGCAGAATACACATTTTCTTTTTAAAAACTATGTTTACTCAACAATGTGCATTAAATAAAGGTAAATCAATAAAAAAATTACATTTTAGATCCAAGCCATTGAATCCATTTACAAATTTAAAACAAAATTTGTGCTACTCAAATCAAAGCAAACCTTTATAGTACACAAAAAACACACACAGTAAATAAATTTTACTAAAGATGGCCGCTACAGCGAACATTACCAGACCCACTTGCCCTGAAGAAGAGCCCCTGATGCCAACACACCTTAGCCATTTTATATTTATTTTTAAATGCTAGTCTATACTTTATTATTTCTAGATTAATTAAATAATAGTTAAATTGGTAATACTATGATGAAACACTACACTCAGGATGTTACTCGAGGTAGAAATAAGGTACTTTTATGTTTAAAAACTGATATGAACTTTACTTATTATGACATATTTTTTTTATAAAACTAAGCCAGCTTTAGGAAAATATTTGTATGGACGAACTTTAGCAAACATCTAATTATTAGATTTCTGTGGTTATGTACAGTTGAACCTGGATTATCGAGAATCAGAGACAGTGATATTTTTCTAAATTACCCAGGTTCGACAATAAAAGTCAAAAGCAACTAACAACAAGACCCTTATCAACACTTTACGGAAACATTCTGTGAATTTTCACTGCTAAAACGTCAAGATAATACTATGTTTTCATACTCGTGTTTCACCAGTGAAAACTCAAGAAATTAAAAGTTCCACATCGGCAGTTCAAAGCTTTACCGATCTTTACCTAATATAATATGTAATTATTATTTTATTAACTTCTTATTTTGTTACATTAACTTAACTATACTAAATCTAAATTTAAATAATAATTAAACATTACTTAAGTAACATTTAGACAACAATGAGTGTGTTAATATGATAAACAATTGCACGATTCATAATTATTTAATAAAATGTTTTAACTTGAAATTTGGACTTTTCCAAATATAATACAAACTATTCATGACAAAACTCATAACACGATAGTAAGTTTTTTTGCTATCGCAACACATAGCTATAATGTTTTAAAAGAGTTACAACAGTTAAAACTCATCATAACTTAAAATAATGCAAGAATAATGCCCCGTTTACATTATTCCAGTCAACAATCAAATCCAGCGCTGGATTTCAACTGGAAAAATGTAAACAGACAATGCATTCCAGTATGAATTAACCTAATCTAGTCTGTATTTAAAGTATAAAGGAGGAAGATATAGGGGGTTCAAGGACTTCTAAACACGGTAGATATGTCCTTGAAGACGTGGCGCTATGGCCGCTTAAAGTATTGCTCATCGATGCGTTTAGCGAGAGCGACCAGGGTGTCATGACGGCGCACGATGTCCGCCAGCTTACGACACGGCAACCGAGTCGTGATTATTGTGAAGACATGTCCAAACACCAGCGCATCTAACTCTGTTGGCCTGTTGACATTTCATAATATTAATATATACTAAAAACAGCATAATCACGACTGTAACCAAAAGGGTAGACAGAAACCTCTATTTGGCGCAGTCTTACACCTCTCTTGATTCTACATTCATACATCTAAACATACCTTGGTTTCTAGTTCTCTTAATACAATAATATTATAAAATTTATTGTTTAATTACGACTAAGACTAATAAATTTTACTACAGGCAATATACATAAATAATACATACGAATGAATAATATTGTCATCAATATTCATTCTATAACGGTAACAATGTTTTTTTTTTACCAGTTTTATAGCTAAAAGAAAAGGTTATATAAGGAAGAAGAGAATAGGACGATAAAGTGATTAGGATTTTCTTGTTACAGTAATATCGAATGGAATTTAAAATCGAGGTAAATAACTAAATAAGAAAAAAAAACTAAAAGAAATTATATAAAAATGTATGAGTACACTTACTTAACGGGTTCTTTTTATTTCTTCTCTTAAATTTATAGGCTTATTAAAATGAATTTTTGAACGGAAACTTTTGTTATGTAAAAGACATTTATTTAAAAAAAAATTGCAATTATTTATAATAGGAACAATGAATTTCGATATAAAAAACGCGGACAACGATTAAGAGTATATAACGTCGACCAAACAGAATACATCCAATGCATTATAGTCCGGAACGAGTACGAGTAACACGCATATAAGTAGTTTTTTTTGGTTATTTTTTTAAACATATTACTTTGTATTTCATTTTATAGTTATTTTAATAATTAATCAACTTCGGCGATATCAACGCCGCTGCTGACAAGGACGTTCTTTTTACGCAAACAATCCATTAAATTCTCTATGGTTATTTCTTCGTTAATCGGAAAGTTTGACGTATGTCTTGAACCTGAAATTTTACCGCCATTTATTCCTTTAACAGTCTTACTAACGAATTCTAAATTTAAATGCTAATTTATTTATTAAAAAAAATAGTTAATTTTAAATCCCAACCTGGCAAAGCGAGTGGCGACCGACAGATTTGTGTATTAACAGAGGTATCAGATGACTTTCTTTCATTCCTGTTAGTATCCAAATATTCATCAACGTACTCCTTATTTGGACTGTCAAAAAAATGCCGAAAATCTCAAGATTTGTAAAAAAAACATTACTAGCGTCTATGACCAGTGGTAGAGCCTTTAACATTTTGCACGAATTAGCTAGTTCACGACCACACAGAAGCCGTGAAGTGGAAGCAATTCCGCGTTTCGTCTGATGAGTGTGGTACCGGAGGGTTAATTTTAGTCCTCTTTCCATTTCCATCCTTTTTCTTATAAGTATAGAATGGCAAGAAGTGGATTTTCCGGATGAGAGGTTGCATGAAGGGAAAATAATCTATATCTGTGTATCCCCTCCTCCGTTGATTAAAAGTTGACAACGCATCTGCAATTGCTTATGTCTGTGGTTGCTTATGCTTAGGTATACGTATTTCAGCGATTTCAGATGGCCGCTCATTTGCTACCTTGTGATAAAAAAAAATGTTGTTAATTACCTATTATCAACTTTCGTATAATTATTATATTGTATTAGATCAAAATCGTTAGAAACAGTTTCTTTTAACAAATGCTTATCAGTCACGAGTCCGTCACTATCAATAATATCTTCCTCATTAATAACCTGTATTAAATCTTCTCCATTATCTATCGAATAAGTCTGATTCGTTAAATCATTTTCTTCAATTGTATCCAAATAATCATTAATATTATCCAATGTTACGTAATTTTCTTCCGTATTTAAAGCGGATATCACTTCAAAATCGTTCTTTTCAATAACGATAATTTCTTTTTCGGTAATAATTTTCTCCGTTTTCTTAATAATATCATCAATCAACTCATAAATCATTTCATAATTATCATAGTTTGGATATTTGCAAGGTTCTTCGTATCTACAAGTTACTTCTCCTTCTTTGGATGTCATTATTATGATTTGTTTTGACGCAAAAGGTTTAAAACCTGAATAAACCACAAGTAACTTTTATTTCAAAAGGAGGACAAACTATGTACTGAAAATATTTTAGGCACAAAACAACATGACTACTGATGGATAATCTGTATTAATATATAGTGTTGCCATTAAAAAAAATTACACTTTAAATTAATTATTTCGTATCTTTAAAAATGGCAAATAATAAACTAAACTACATTATAATTTAAAATTCAATAACCAAAAATATCTCTGGAATTAGCGACAATATCGCATTTGGATCTTTTAATACCCAACTTGGATCGCTTTATCCTCGTATAACTTCGAACAAGATTCAATTCCGGCGACAGAGATCTCCGAAACGAGACACGCGACGCTTGCTTCAATAGATATTCTTCTTGTGGCTGAACGATAAAATTTGAAACCTTTATAAGCAACACAACCCACGGGGGGTAGGCAGAGATAACTTTCGTTCGGATGTCGCTAGGATCGCGTCAAATCGAATAGGTACTCATCACATATCGCTTATTTAAATAAAATAATAGGTAGCTGTATTTATCTTTCACGAAACTTCTCAGTCAACAGAATTCTAAAACTAAATACTGTCTAGCAATCGCGCAATGCCTGGTTTACACTATGCCAGTACAGTAAACCAGTATCGCTCAAAATCAGCACTGGCATATTGAAAGCACGTACTAACGACACTGAGAATGCCAGTTCTGTAATTAACATATCATTCTATTTTTAATTGCAGTCCGGCCATTCCAGCGCAACTGGCATAATGAAAACGGCCTTTGATTCTTAATTAAACAAAATTTAAATTTCTCTTAACTCACCGTTAATGGTAATTGGGTTAAATTAGACATTCTCATGAGATGTTTTAGAAGGCAGCTTGTTATAGCTTTTATCATATTCATAGCTTTAGGTCCGGTAGCGGACAGGAGTGCCCTCATATGACCGTAGGCTAGGGCATCTAGAGGAGTTGGACTTGGAAAAAATGGAAAATAAGAATAGGAAAGTTATTATAGGTTTTGTATATCTTTTAATTCAACCTCCCTACTCTTACTCTTAATAAGTCTTTTTAATTGTTACTTACGTTCCAAAGAAGTAGTCCCGTTCACCGAGACGTTGGCTCAAAGAATTGAAACACTGTTCAACCTGAAAAATTGATGTAAAATTTTAAAAATTGTAGCATCAAGTGTGCTTAAGAAAGTGTATTTTTATAAAGATTCTTTTCATGTAATTATTGAAAATTAGTATTATAAATAAAATGAAAACTACATATTTCAAATTAATACTACTGCAATTGGACAGTGTTTTTGACAGTTCGCACGAATTGGCCCGGTTCGCCCGGTGAGTGAGCGTCCCGGAGGCTTAATATAGTCCTCTTTCCCTTCCCACCGTTTTTCTTATAAGGAAAGGATGGGAAGTGAAAGTGGACTTTCTGGATGAGGGAATGCATGGAAAGGGAATTTTTCTTATTTTTTTTTCTATGCATCCTCTCCTCCATCGATTAAAGGTAGGCAATGCATATGCAATCGCGTATGTCTATGGGCAAAGGTCACTTCACTATATCAGCGATTTCAGGTGGCCGCTCGCTCATTTGCCATCTTGCTAATAGTATTATAAATGCTAATGTTTGGATGGATGGATGGATATTTGTTAAAATGTATCTCTATACCTGCACCATAAATCTTGTTGCATTTTGGCAATAATGTAGAACATAGCCTAAAAGAAAAAAAATTATTTTCGCCCTTTATAAAAAAAATTACTTACATCAGCTAATACTTGATCCAAAGTCTTGTCATACCAGTGCAACGCTTTCAATCGTTTTATAACATTATTCCTCTTGGATCTGGTCTGTAGCCAGCCTAATGGCCAGGGGTATACGGAGGCATTCCGTACACGAGTCACCGCATTGAATGTGTCATTGTCCACCCATGATATATACAACTGTGGGACAGTTAACAAATATTTACACTCAAAACATAGAGTTCAGGTGACTGTGTGCCACCTTATTATAAAATATAAAAAGTATACCACAAGATTGTCGCTAATTTAACATATAACTTTATAAGAACTTAATTTTATTATACCTCAGCATTAACCAGGACATTTGTGATGAGACTCATATATGCTCTCATTTCAGCCTTCTCCTCGGTAGACAAACGGCCACATAATGATACACCTTTATTGGCCGCAAACTGCACAATAGGTTCCAATTCAGACACAACAAATGCACCGCACTTTATAAACGGTACTCGACCAGACGGTGACATGAATTCCGCATTCCAACGCATCTCAACTTCAAATGGAAGGTTGCACATCTGTAAATTATAAATTCAAAGATTATATATCTCAGATTCTATATTTTTTTATGTAGGAAGTTGTTAAAATATCTTTCATACCTTTAAAAATGCTTGGACCGCAAGACAACTAGCATTATCAGGTAGCAAGATTTGTTCCACTTCGTAAGGTTGAAATAGCTTGACATTGTCGGGCCATGGCTCTTGAGCTGTAATTAAGAAATTTAATATCTTGAAACTTATCCAATACTTATAAATAAGGACAGAAAATGTTATTTACATAAAATATTAATTTTAAAACAAAACACCCACTCCTCCCTCAACATTCTTAAAACAATCTGCCGCTAGAGGCTAGTAATTTGATATTGACACCAAACTTTTCATTCCATTTAGACTACAAGATTACAATTGAATGATCTCATATTAGTAATACAACAAATATTTTCTATTAGGAAAAATTATTAATTTATTTAAGTAATTTAACATACAATTATTTTAATTCTGTAATAATCTTGTCATAAATAGATATTTTGTACAGAGAAAATGTATATTTTAACATTGCCTTCCTGAAATTTTGTCAGCTTATAAAGGACACAATTCTGAATACCGTATCAAATACTTTTTGCTCTAAACCTAATTAGTTATTCTTGCAAAAGGTGATGCCAGGAATATTTTTTTGAGCCATTGGAGCATAAATAATCTTTTAAATTGTATTCATTTTGATTTAACTTTGTCACTCTCAATCTAGTACTCATTTTAGATCTTTAATATTTTAGAGAAAATTATGGTATAAAACATAGAGTAAATAATGTTAAGGTTTAAGTACTTTAATGTTTTTCACAAGCTATATGGAGAATAAAGCAATTCTTTAATATAATATATACCACTTTATATTAAACAAAGCCGAGAGCGAAAATTCAGGAAAGCAAAGATAGTGATGTAGTAATTTTAGGTTATAAAAAACAAATCCATTTTAAAGAACTAAATTAGTTCCGGTGTGAAATATCCCGTAGTTTGGGGGCTAAAGTAAATGTTTGAAAACCACACACAAATCCGGGAATTTTGAATACCAAATACAAATGGGTCGCCGTCCATTTTCATAGTTCAGGACGCAAATAATGTGGAGAGAATGATGTAACCTTAGCACTCACAGAGATATAGGGCACCCTGCAACTATAATTAAGCTATAGCTGTGTAAACAGCGAATAAAAATAGAAAATGCTTTAATTATGTAACTTACTGTAAAACAAACTTTCATGTTATCAATAAAAAAAATTACTTTATTACCGTTAAGTGAAGTCATTATGGAGTCCTTAAGAGACATCTCGGGCATTCCTTGATTACCAATATATACTTTACTATTTCTGATGGAGAATGAAGATATAAAATCAAAAACTCTAATTCAAATTTGAACTTGATTTCAATAATTTTTTTGAACACATGACATGTGCTGTCATTTTTTAATTGACAGAGTGGTGACAAATATCGATGGTTTCGTTGATTTCGAATGAAGGTTTTAAATTCGATTTAAATCTAAAAATTACACACTGCCATTTTTCATAAAATTAATTGTAGTGAAAAGAAAAATCAAAGGCAAAAATCTGAGTTTTACAAATTTATGAGGTTTGAAATGCAAAAAATACTATGATACTAAAGTATCGACAATGGCGTGGAAGCTAGGATTTTCAATGTCGTTGCCTACATGATAGTACCGCTTTTGATCGTTAACTGAACCTGTATGCTAATCATTTTCTTCATATTACCCAACCACTCATATCACATCTGTAAAACTATTATAAAATGGATACTAAAAATAAAAAAAATATTATGCTCGTACCCATTTGAATTAGTTTAGTCATGTTATTCCCAACACAAGACACATTATTGTTAAGTAAATTAATTCCAAAAGCAAACTCTTCATCAAAGTAGTCGAAGGGTCTTTCTAAAGGTTCGTACGTTCCATTTGTTAATAAAGTGGATTTTGATTGAATAAATTCGGTGTATCTTTCAATTATTACTTGGTCAACCTTTAAATTTGAAGTAGAAGAGCTTCCAGTTGGTGGAGATTTTAGACCTAAATCTGAACAAAGATATTCAATATGTTTTATTTTATTCACTTCAGGTTTTACAATATCCAACATTTTAACAATATTTTGAGTTAATGAATTTTGAATACTACTTAAATACCGAAAGTAATTTTAAATGATCAGTTGAAATATGTCATTACACTTGGCATTTTTAATTTTCATAATGAACAATGACAGAATTTTAGTGAAGGAAATTTCTTTATTTTTCTGACTACATCTTACTTACATATATTATAAATGTGAAAGTTTAGATGTATGGATAGATGTTTGTTAGAAGGTATCTCCAAAACAGCTCAACGATATGTTCTATACACAGTCTGGAAGAATACACGGGCTAAGTTGCCTAATTGTATAAAATTAGGCGCATGTAGGATACGGGATACGTTTGATTAACATGTTTACTTGATAACTCCGCAACGGTTCAGCACGTGTTATTGAAACTGATACAGATATAGACATTGACCCGAGTAAGACATGTGATACTTTTCACCCTTTTTTTAATATTGCGCAGACGAAGTCGCGGCCAAAAGTTAGCATTATTCTTAAAGTGCAGTTTTCGCTATCTACTCTTTGTCCTTTATTTTAGTTCATCTACTTAACCCTTTTAATTATATAAAAATACAATTCAAAAAAAATAAACGACGAATATTAGTGAAGTAAAGTGTAGTGAATCCAAAGTAATGAACATTTTCCAAATAAACTGTGACCTAAAGGTCTATGTTACCAGGTCATAGAATTAAAAAACAATTCAACTAAAACTCTTTGATAAAATGTTTGACACATGACATTTTGACACGCATCGTTTGCACATCGTAAGTTTTGTAGTTAAACATTTTATTTCAATAATACCTTAATAGGGACATAACAGCTAAGATAAAATCCGTTTGCATTTAGTGTTGTATTGATCTACCATGGCTGATGTATTGGATATTGAGAATTCCGAAGAATTTGAGGTTGACGAGGACGGCGAACGTGAGTAGCGTCAGTGACAGTTATTCATAAATAAATAAGATATATTGCTTTCGTGCAAATTAAATTGGTGATAATTTTATAATTGCTGTAACTGTAAAGATTTTATTAATTATGATTTATTTTAGAGGGAATCGCAAGACTGAAAGAGAAGGCGCGTAAACGTAAAGGTCGTGGATTTGGCAACGAAAGCGGTGGCGGCGGCGCAGCAGAGCGCGGGAATAGGGGAAGGTAAGAGGATACAAAGTAAAGGGGGGTTGTATTTCAACAGAAAAATTAAATACAAATTAGTAAAAAAACATTTATTTATGCTTGTGTATTTATTTTAGATATGATAGTTTAGCGCCAGAAGGTGATGGTAATGCACCAGGACCGCAGAGATCTGTAGAGGGTTGGATATTGTTTGTCAGCAATGTTCATGAAGAAGCACAGGAAGAAGACATACAGGTATGTATTGTTATAACTGAAGTAACTAAATTTTTAAACCTGATACACTAAAGATGATAAGTGTCACCAGTGTCTCATTAATGAAGAATTTAGGCAGTCTACATACAAAAATTTACTTTCTCTTTCAGAATCAGTTCTCAGAGTTTGGTGAGATTAAAAATATACATTTAAACTTGGATCGCCGTACTGGATTCTTAAAGGGATATGCTTTAGTTGAATATGAAACATACAAACAAGCTGCGGTAAGATCTTTTTCACTTTTTTTCAATTGGTAAGAACCAAATTTATAAATGGCAAGAGCATCGGTGGCTTAGGAGTTAAGCACTTGACTTGCAATCTGCAGATCCTGGGTTCGAATCTAGGCTTGTACCAATTTGTTTTTCCATTTTCGACTTACATATATACCTTTATGCAACATTCTTATGGTAAAGGAAAACATTGAGAAGCAACCTGCACATATCTGCAAAGAAATTCAATGATATGTGTGAAGTTAACTAACCCACACTGGGCCACCTCTAACTCTGTATGCTCTGATCCCCACAGTGGGGTTGTATAGTGAGCTGATGGTGTAAGAACCAATTATCTGAATAGTAAATATTGTGAATTTTAATATTACAGAGTGCCCGTGAGTCATTAGATGGTGCTGATATCTTGGGACAGGCAATCTCAGTGGACTGGTGTTTTGTAAAGGGACCAACCAAAACCCACAAGAAGAGGCGATAAATCTTTTCTATTTAATAAATAAATCATTAGAGTTATGTATTGCACTAATTATTATTAGTTAAAAGTTTTTATTTGTAACACCAGATTCCTGTTTAATATTTTAAAATAATATGCAATGTTTGACCAGGTGAAAGTGTACTAAATAATGTATTAGTTATGAACAGATAATGTGCTTTAGTTAACATTTTCATAAAAGTTAACACATTCAATGCCACCAATTTGTGTATGGAAACTTTTGTACACAAAAAGTTAGTGGCATTGAAAGTTTTAAATGTTTGTCAATATTTTTATGTAGCTTTATAGCATAAAAAAGTGCTTTGCATAACTCTGTATGTAATGTCTATTACTTAGGCATAAGCTAATATAGATAAGTCTTTCATATGTTTCGTTTTATTTAACTCGTGTATATTAGGAATTCTATAAGAAACAACTGGACTGAATATTGTCGCTGAGCGTCGGTGGCTCAGTGGTCAAGCTCTTGACTAGCAATCTGCATGTCCTGGGTCTGAATCCCGCTATGTACCAATGTGTATTTCGATTTCCGATTTACATATGTACATTTATCCGGCGGTTTTATGGTGAAGGAAAACATCGTGATGCAACCTGCACATTTCTGAGAAGAAATTCAAAAGATAAATGTGTAGTCAACCAACCCGCACTTGGCCAGCATGGTTGACTATGGCCTAATCACCCTAAACTTAGGGTAGGCTCCGAGCCCCTCTGTGGGGATGTATAGTGAGCTGATGAATATTGTCAGTTCTCTCACAGCTCCTTATGCATAAAACTTGTATTAAATGAAAGAAGAACTGCAGTTTGTATTTTTGGTTAACGCAAAATGTATGCATATTGCACAAAGTACATCAATCAATATACTGAGGCATAATGCACAAGAATTTAGATAAAATGAGTGGAACACAAGAATGAACTTCATTGAATAGGTGTGCATAAACTTTGAAAATGTATGGGCATGATATTGTAAATGTTCCAGGGATGGGAAACTTATACATTTCAACATGCCATTTTTCTAAAGAAATGTTAATGAGGTCTGACTTTTTTCTTAGTCCATAGTATATTTGAAATCAGGGTGCATGCCATTGGTTGCCACCCCTAGTGAAATATACTTTAAATTTTCTGTGTAAAAGTTAACATGCCAGACAATTCATTGGCCATAAATTTGTTGATAGATTATTAATTTTAAGAGGAAGAAAAAATAAAAGATTTGTAACTTTTCTTAAGTTTATATTATACTCAAGCTATTGAGCTTGCATTTGAGGCAATACGGGGCCACAGATCAGCGCACTCTTTCGCAACAGGTCCGGTGATAGCTGAGCCCTTCATCTCTCCTTTGTTGTTCACTATGACGCCTGCATTGTCTTCAAAATATATGAAAATTCCATCCCGCCTTCTAAATGGTTTCCGTTGCCTGATAACCACTGCCGGCATTACCTGAAATTTGTTAGGTGAAATGTTGTAGAAATTATAATAAACATTACAATATTGTTAATAGAATATATAATTGCTTCAGTCAGCCAAGGTGTATCTACAGACCTTTTAGGGATGTTCAGACATTGATTATAGCGAAACCTTTGGCATATCATCATATTAAGAACTTATTTGATATGGCTCTTTAACTTAGATTTAACAATACTTTTTTTGTTTGATGAAAGATGCTGTACTAGTAAAATTACCTAAAACTACTTATTAATGCTGGTTGCATGCTGGCAACAGTTACAAATAGTTAATGTACAAATCAAAATATAAATTTTATGTTTACCTTTTTCCTGAGTTCAGGTTTGCCTTTCTTGACGGTGGCTACAATCATGTCACCAGAGCCAGCAGCTGGGAGCCTGTTCAGGCGACCCTTGATACCTTGCACAGCAATCACATAGAGGTTCTTTGCTCCTGTAGCGATATGTTTCAAGATTTGAGGAGAAAATAATATAGTTAATGAAATATAACAATTCTAAAAAGTTTACTATTTATTTGTAAAAGTAACACATTTGAATAAAAATTATTTATTTGCGAAAATTGCTAATGACAATACATTGTTAAACTTTTTTTGAGCATGTCAACATGTGTTTATTATTGTAACTATAATTCTGCGGACTGAACAACCTCAGACACAGCCAAGGAAGAAATCACTATATTTCATAAATAAATGTATATTTTGATCATCATCGGTGTGTTCAGAACCTTTAGAAGTAATTATAGGTTATGAATACAAACAAGTCGAAACATTACCTGTGTTGTCGGCGCAGTTAATAACGGCACCCACTGGTAAACCCAGTGAGATACGGAACTTCGCTCCCGCGGAACCACCACGTCCTTAAAAATAAAAAATATGCACACTTTAACATCGTTCACTACAACACTTTTAGTACGAAGAAAACATTTGGATTCCAAAAATAAACGCGCATTATAGATTACGAACGCATTAGGATAGTATCTCAACATCTTTAATTATATTTTTCTGTAATATGGGACTTGATTATAACGGATATTTTATAATTCACAAACCTCTCTTAGACATTTTGTTGTGTCACTTTTTAAAAGAGGGATTCAAAAGGATCGTGACAGAGATGAAGTTAGCATTCAGTGTTACCTGTTAAAACGTAAAATTCTCTTAACTTTGTTTCTAAAGTTGCATGCTAAAAATAGGAAATAAAAAATTATTTTTACCGAAATAACTTTATTATTTTTACCTTAGAAAATATTTTTATTTACATTTTAAATGTCTTAAACAAACTTCCAAATTTGTAATACTTGATTTGCGTGTGTTTCACATTTCATGTGTATGATGTTTTCATTTCATCATTTCATATTATTTATGCTACTTGTAGGCGGTTTCAAAGACTTGATGAAAGTTAAATGAGAAAAAAGAAAAATCAAAATTCCTAAATGTTTTCAACGGTTTTTCTATATTCTAGTAAAGTTTATTATTTATAGGAGATAAATTCTAGCTAAAAAGTGTTTGTCATTGTCATTACATTCATATTGTTACACACTCTGTGGTTTTCATTTTCATATTTCAATGCGGCTTGTCATTTGTCATTACAATACAAAATTTGTTAGAAAACTTTTCAATTCAAAGTTTCAATAATTCCATTTTATTATACAGGAAAATGGCTTTTATGGGTGACATGATAAGTCCTTCGCCCTTATGGCAAAACGGGCCATCCCCTGGTGCTTTCTATAATTTCCCTGGAAATTCACATCACGGACCTTCGAACCACACTAATCAGGACTTTAGAGCCCAGTAAGAACAGTTACTGATTTTTATGATTACGCTTAGTGACCATTTAATGAAATGTTAAATTCATGACTAATATATTATTGTTTCAGCTCAGCAGCCCCTATAACCACAACCACTACTGTAATTGGCATAAAATTTGATAAAGGATGTGTAATTGCAGCTGATACCCTCGGATCTTATGGCTCTCTCGCTAGATTTAGAGATTGTCCCCGTGTATTAAAGGTCAATGATCTTATTCTTCTTGGCTCTGGTGGAGATTATGCTGACTATCAATATTTGAGGGATATCATTGAGCAAAAAATGTGAGTACGAGATTTAATAATGTTGATAATCTTATATTTCTACCATTGATCTGTTAAGTTGGACATACAACATAATGCAAGATGAATATATGGAGACTGTGTCAGAAAACAATAAGAGTTGTCAGTTGTGTTATTCTTTCTCAGTATTGATGAGCAATGTATCGGAGACGGTCTGCAGTTGAAACCCAAGTCACTACACTGCTGGCTCACACGTGTCCTCTACAACAAGCGCAGCAAGATGGATCCTTTGTGGAGTAATTATGTTGTTGCTGGCATTCAGGTAATTATAGTATTATATAACGGATCACATTGAAATTCGGCATACATATAGCACATAACCTGGAAGAACACATAGGCTACAAAATAAGTTTTTTCATTATCACGGGGGACATAGTCTCGAGCAACAGCTATTATTCAATAATTTTATAACTTAAATTAATATATAACTGCATGTATTTCATATGTAGGATGGCGAGCCATTCCTTGGAGCTGTAGACAAGTTAGGTACAGCTTATGAAGATGCTGCCATTGCAACTGGAATGGGTGCATACATGGCAACACCTTTGCTGCGTGATGTGCTTGACAAGGGGCCATTGAATGAAGAATCTGCAAAGTATGTATTTCTATATTTGTTATATTGTTATGTAAAGTGTAATCTTTATATTGTGGTTATTTACAATGTTAATACATCATCAGCTGACTATTTGTCCCAAATGAGGGCCTCGTAGCTCAGTTAGGGGTGACTACGCCATAGTCAACCACACTGGCCCAGTGCAGGTTGACTTCACATACATATTTGAATTATGCTTAGATATGTACAGGTTGCATCACTTCTGTTACTTGAAAAACGCATTGATACAAGGCAGGATTTGTACCCAAGATCTGTAGTTTACAAGTCAAGTGCTTAACCTTTGAGCCACCAACATATTTGATGACAGGAAATTATTTTCACTAATGAAATATTTATAACTTTCCAGAGCATTAGCACGTAAATGTATGGAAGTGTTGTACTACCGTGATGCGCGCTCGTTCCCGCGCTACCAGTTGGGTGTGGTAACCGCAGCCGGTGTTGTGGTGGAAGAGCCCACTGAGATAGGCCAGAACTGGACCCTCGCTCACATGATACATATGAAGTGAACACTTTGTAGCACTAATAAATGATTTCTTTTTATACCTTGTTGTTTTATTAAAGAAAATAAAAGAATAGACAATTTAAGTAACTTTTTCTTTGTGCCTTTGCCTTCTTTATGGTATTGAAATAAAACGATGGAAAAGATGGATTTCTTGCAATTCCAAAGAACTAACGAAAGCCGTCAAAATTCAAGTATTTTTTTTTCAGACAATAAAAGAAAGGAGCAATAAAAGTCAAGTATTGAACATAGAAAAATATTTATTTCAAAATATACATTTTTTCTAATTTGTTGAAACAATTTTTTCAATTAAAAATTTCCTCTAATTATTACTAATCGATAAATATTATTAATAAATGCATTTTTATTAAAAATTTAACATTATTTACAATTACGAATTAATACTTAAAATAAGTAAAATAATTTATTGACGGAATTATAATGAAATCGAAGATAATAAATAGAAAAGATAACTACAAAATGTTAAAGATCTTGACAAAAAATCTTAACCTACAATAACTCGGAAGTGAATATTTCTAATAAAGTTTTTTACACATAAATCTTAAAATATTCATTTATAAATTCGATAATCGTGTTTAACCGATTAATTAAACGATGACTTATAAATACCCTAAAATAAAATCCTTAATTTGGGTTTCTAATGTCAAAACAAAATATATTTTGTAAAGATGTTTTGACAATGGAAACCAACGATAAAATCACACTAAATTAATGAGTTTATAAAATTCGTTGTCAAAAAATAATAATTTTTGAAACTCGAATTTACAATTCAAAATCAATTGTTTTTTATTTTTTTTTATTTAGTAAAACTTTAATTTGACTTAATTTTCAAATGTTGGCTAACAGCATTTCCATATTAAAAACGCAATTTGCTTAAACATAAACTCCTTATTGACATTCAAAATGTTTTAAATATGGTTTTCTATTTGTATTTGTTTTATGAGCAATTATTCAATTACATTAGATTTACCCTATGCTTAAGATTGTAAGAAAAGTTTCTAACTGTGATTATTATTTGAGCATAAAACTGGAATAATAGCAAAGTTGATTGACATAAGTTTGAAAATTTACTAAGAGGTATGTTTTCATAAATGCTTTATTTCCAATATTACGCTCTTAGTATGCAAGTGTGTATGTAGAAAGAAATATTCTGTAACTACCGTAAGAGTTGCCATACACGGAATCAATTATACAATCAAACTAAAAAGTTGTAAATAGCAGTAGTGCAACGCATTTTGTGGATTGTTGCTTTTACGTGTTCAAAACAAGAAGCAACATGAAGAGGAACCGGACTAAAACTGCAATATCTGGTTTATCCAGTCTCGAAAGGCGGAGATGCGCGTGTACACGCCGGGCTGGTTTGGTTCCGCGCAGCCGATGCCCCACGAGATGACGCCTCCCAGCACGAAGCGCGCGTCCCGCTCGCGCTGCACCACCATCGGACCCCCGCTGTCACCTGTGTTAAAGGTAGACAAAATATATTATATAATAACCTTTTTACCTTGCGAACCGATTGGACGGGAGTTGAACGGAAGGTAGTTGATATACACCGCTATATTTTAGGTACCCTTTTTTCGGGACCTTGCGGACAGGCAAATTTTAAAAATTGTATTTTTTTGTTATCAAACAACGCAAATATCGATTAATTTTACCCTCCAATTTAAAAAAATTAAGCAAAAATGAAGGAAGAGATTATTTGAACAGACTTTTCAGACAGAGGTTGTTAACTCGGACAATCTTATTTGAAACGAATAACAATATTATATTGATAATGCAATCTAACCTTCGCAACTGTCAGCTCCGCCCGACTTCCAGCCGGCGCATATGAAGATGTTAGGTATGTGCTCCGTGTACCCGGCCGCCTGGTACATCGCCTCGCACGCAGAGTTGTTTATCACTGGCACTTGCACTTCTTGTAGTACAGTCGGCAGGGGACCCTCTGATAAGCAAAACACATTAATTCGTAGTTCAGTTAAATATTATGATTTACAAACATACAAATAATTAATTACTAAGTCCGGTGCGACAGAGACTTAAGAATTTCCTTGAATTACCGCTTGCCCAAGCCATTATAATTATTAATAAATAGGTGTTGTCTGCGACTCTGTCCGCGCTGAATGAAAAAAACTTAATTAGTAGGCTAAGTGTTCTTCCGGATTATGTTCAACGAGATACATTCAGTCGTTCTGAATATCCATTCTAACTAAAGTCCATCTAAACATTGGAATTTATAATATTAAGATTTTAGTTATACTAACTATTGACACTAACAATCTGTTTTCCATTGCGTCGGTCAGTTAACATTAATTACTACAAGTACTCAACAACAAATTATTAATTTCATATGTAAGTACAACGAGGTATTAGGGGAGCATAACTTTGCAAGTACACTGACCGTCATAGAGTCTTCCCCAGCCAGTGACGTAAGCAGTCTTGCCAACGTAGTCATCGTCGTTGTCAGGCACACACACTGGCAAGATATTCGGCTGGAATGTCACTGGCTCGTAGAACCTAAAACAAAAATACATCGCCATTATTCATTACCAAAAATCGCCCCTGTTGAACATAGTATTTAATAATAAGACATCGTGAATAATTCTTTTTAACGTTTTTCTTAAACTTCTATTAAAAAAACATGAAAACGCACCATATCTTTTGAGTCTAATATTATCGAGATACGTCTAATTATTTTCGTTACACACTAGTACGAAAATCCATTCAAAAATTTACACGTAGTATGTTAGAAATGTCAATAGTGATCTACTAACCAAAAGTGAGCTAAACATTTTTTTCCGGTACGCTAACCGTTTAAATTGACCTTAATTCTTACATGCCATCGATAGTCACTAGAGCGTGTTTCTTTAGTCACTCGTCATTAAACTTGACCTTTATTTATAAAAACTACACAAATAAAAAAGTAGCGTAAATGGAATAGTACACGTTCATTGTATTATGTACAGTATTTTTAGAGCTATGAGTCCGTTGCAAAATAATAACACCAAGTATCTGTATTTTAATTCCTTTTAAACAGTTTCTATACATTTCACTATTATTCTTAGTTTTTTGTTCAAAGTTATCAAAATATGCCACAATTTTAAGAGAGATGCCACACGGGATAGTGGAGTGTCCCGCACCACCCGTCTAGCATATCCTTAATTGGTTTTAAACAAATAACTCACCTTAACAACGCAAGATCGTATTCAAATGTATTTCGGTCGAAGTGCGGATGGCTAGCCACGATCTGTACGCGGCGCTCCGCGAATCCGTACGGCTCGTCCTCTGTCGCTAAGTCATGCTCCCCTAGTCGCACGAGCAGCTCTGATGGTGGTACACTGAGGAGAAATACTTTCATGTAAGGCTAAAAATGTAAATGTTTGTGGTAAAATCACTTTAAATTAAAAGAGTTTAACTGCTAAACCTAGAGTCGTTTAAAGAACGATTAAAGTAAGCTATGCACAATCTAATTTCCACAAAATTTATAACTACGGAGAATATTTATAAATTTGTAATTTGAGTTTTATTGAGCAAACAATTCTTATACTTATTTTAAGTATTAAAACTGTCATCTTTTTAATGTTTTAAATTTATATTTATCGTATTTATTTAAATATCGTAATCTTTTACTTTGACGTAAAAAAAAAATACCCTCAGTTCAAGTCACATCGCGTGCACGTGAAATGCAAGTAAGTAATGTTATTTTATTTGCATATAACGACATTGACCTCTTAGGATCGCCGAATTTTTATCAGCTTCAACTGATATATATTCTTAAAAATAAATGCTTTAAAATAATCTGTTTTATTGATTTCAACTTTTTCTTATTCGAGCTATGACGTCACATAAGGTGCTGGTTGCACAATCTTATTTTAAACGGAACATACTCTCTTACATCATTAATAACTGCTATTCAAAAAAAAAGCAAATGCAGTTTGCGCAACAGCCAGTAAGTGTCGAGATATAAAATACATTGTACAATACGATGCAATAGCTCTTTAAAAGTTATTACACTTGAGGTTATCCGCAAATAACAAATGACAGCGTTGGTCTCATTGAAAGAGCTAAGATAAAGCTAAACTTATCTAAACTATACTGATTCGTGTCATTAGATAGAGATTTAAAAGTTGCGAAATCATGTTGGACCAATGTGGACCAACCGTGGTTTTTTGAGACTAAAATCTCCATTTAAAACATATTGTTATATCTGTTTCGTCAAAGATAATGACAGGGATGACAATATATTTTATATAGAGATTTTGGTCTCAGAAACCAACTGTAAGAGTTATTAGTAAGTGTAGTTTTAGTGAAGAAACGTGCACTAGGATGGAAGAGGCGTGTCAAATTAACCTTACTTTTTATTGTGTTATTATTTCGTATTCATTTATTTATCATATTTTTAATATAGTACATTTCATATCAAAAAAAATATATACAAGACATATTTTATTAAAAATAGAACACCACCGGCTGCGGAATCCCATGACTCAAACAACCAGTGGTCAGGGCTGCAGAGACAGGATCCTTCGCACGATGCGTGCGGTTTCTAGGATAACTGCCTTTTGCCCGGCCCTTAATCCAACTGTTTAGCGAGTCCTTCTTGATATGTGTTTATTATTGTAAAGAGAAAATTATACTAAATTTGAAAATTCAATTTGGAACATTTCAATTCAATATTTATAGTTAATACAGCACATCAGTCGGTAATCCGAGTGTTGAATATTCTCCACATTTATCAACTCGAATACATAATTACTTTATCATTTATGTTGTTGATTTCCTCAAGCAGACAATGACGTTTTTATCTCATCTAAATTTTTTTCTAATATTCAGTCTCGCTTCTCTAAATAATTTCAATGTTACTAACTAGACGTTATCAATGGAATGTGACTGAGATATAACTTGCGATTGTTCATAACTGGTTAAATATATAATTATGTTCAAATTCACGGGGTCATGTCATTAAGTTAGTTTTTTTTTTCACTAAGCAACGACACACTAGAATTTTATAGACTTTACTGCCTGTTTTAAGCGCACCGTTAGTTTTTTTTAGGAATAAAACGCCTCGATATGATACGATAATCGACTTCAGTGTATAGATATCAATATGTAATTTCTGAATGTGCAAGGCGCGTAGATGTGGAACCTGTCATTCTATTACTACTGTGAGCCGTCGCTTTGTTCTAGTTCAACTTATTTTAAAAAGTTAAAATACCTATAACAAATATTTATTCAATAAAACACAATAATAAAACGTGTTAATATATTATAATAGTGTTGATGTTATCCATACTCACTGTTCAACGCAATGCGCGGCTGTGATGGCCCAATTTTCATTCAAGAGTGCAGCACCGCACTTGTGGAGGTATGTAGAGGTCCTGTACTGACGCAGTGAGATCTGCCACGGCCACTGGCCGAAGCTAGACTTGGTGCCACCGACGATACGCCCCTGTGGCCAAAGTCGCCGACCGCACACTGCCAGCATCACCAACGTAGAGTTTATTATCATTTTTCAATCACAGCGATAAAAATCGTCCGAATAAAAACATTCAAACGCATATGCGTTTTTGCCTAATTTAGTTAAAGTAAACAGTCGCTTTTGTCCCGAATAAATTACGTTCGAATAAAAAAAAATTGACCTAACGCATATGAACGCTTTTGCCTAATTGCACTAAATTAAAAAGTTATAGTTTTGGCGCCATTTAGAAAATGGTGAACGTCACTTGTTCACGGCGTTTTTGTTAGACATTAGGTAAGTTATTTATATTTCAATTGTACGGCTTAACTTATTTACATTTATGAACAAGAATTTAAATTTTATTACATTTTTGCTAGTCATTTTTGAGTTCACTTATTTAAATTGTTATCAACTATGCACTCAATAATGCACTACGTCCTTGCGTTTGCCTTGGCAATGGCGTCCGGCCACAACGCGCGCGAACTGACAACTCTTTGTTTAAAATTTCTGAACAGAGTTGATTTTATTTTTTGTGGTTGTTGATACGCTCGGCAGCCTGGAGTTGTGCAGGCTCGGTGGTTCTTTGACCTGGCAAGCGATGCGTCATATTGACTTAGGGCACCCCGAAATATCGTACCAATTTATTCCAAATTCAGTTTACTCCATTTTCAAGATCCTTGATAAATAATTAGTAGCAACTTAACATGAATATTTTGCCTTTTAATAATATTCTTTTTGTTATTGTTTGCTAAATATTTATAATTTTATATGCGTTTGACGGTACACGGAAATCAACGTACTCAAGGATGCTGTGACCCTACAGAAAATTGCTTTTGACGTAATAACAATTGTAATAAACGAGCAACATTTCCACGTGCAAACAATTAATACGTTCACTACTGATTTTAATTTTTTATAATTTAGTGAATAATTTAAGAAAAAAATAGTATAAAATCTTACCGTCTTTATAATCAGACATATTGATAGTTTCAGGACTAATTGTAGTCTGTGATGATGCATTTGGATATATTGTTGTTGTTTCTGAAATCACAATAAAAAAATATTTAAAATTGCTATGTATATTCTCAGTACATATATAAGATAATAAACAAGGTAATATAAAACGGTCAACAACAAAAGAAGTATTAGTTATTGGTTTTAACAATATAAGTGAATTAGGTCGATGTATTATCAATAAAATGAATAAACCGTAATATAGTAATAGTAAATATTAAAAAATATCATACTTTCTTACCATTTTCATATACTCCAAGTGTAGTTGTGTCAGTGATATTAAAGTTTGAGACTGTTGTAACATTTTCTGACGTCAAACTCGGCGTTGATGTCGGCATAGTCGGCGACAAAGTTACATTAACCGTGAATTCCAGTAAAGGTGCTTCGGTCAACACAGATGTTGGTGGTGATTCTGAAGTCGGTAAGCTTGTGGTTGTTGGAATGGCAGTTTGTGTTGTTGACGGTAATGAAGAAGTTGGTGGTATGTAAGATGTTGATTTCTCTGTTGTTGTGACAGCTATAGGCGGTGTTGCTTCTGATGAAAGTTGAGTTGGTGATGTTTCTACAATTGTTGTCGGTGCTTCAGTTGTGGTTGTTGTTGTTGTTGTAGTAGGCGTTGTAGTTGTGGCGGGCGTCGTCGTAGTAGTAATAGGTGATGTGGTTGTGGAGGAAGTTGTAGTGGTAGTAGGTGTCGTAGTGGTGGTAGAAGTCGTGGTGGTTGTGGTAGGAGTTGTTGTGGTAGTAGTTGTAGTTGTTATTGGAGTAGTAGAAGTGGTTGTTGTAGAACTAACGACTGGTGTATCAGGTTTCGGTTCCAAAGTTGATATCAAAACCCAGCCTTCGGGTGGAGTAATTGGTGACCATACTTCTGAAAAGTAAGTAAATTTATTTTAACGAAATATTTGTATACCAGTAATTGTTTTTAAATTGGTTAAATATTCAATTATGTATTTAAAGAGAACAGTTTGTAAACTAGATGTTTTTTATTATTTACATGTAGCAGTATGTACATAAATGGAATATGTTAATGTGTAATACAAATATGTTCTTTCGAGTTGCAATGTCAGCCGAGAATTGGCACGAGTTGAAAAATTATTGGACCACTAAATGCTCGGGTCAAGTTCGGTTACTGGGTTGTCGAGTTTAATACTACTTTTGAAACTTGATCTTGAAATTGTTTTTTTTACTATTATTTAAAAAATCATAGTGTGTCTACACTTCAAGTGGTGTTGATGAACGCAAACCGTTATCTTAAGATTTGGTAAAGTACCAATGAATCAGCTACTCATATGATGATCTATTGATTTCTTCTACTACTACTACCGTTGGTTTGTGAGATCAAAAACTCTGTATAAAACATCTTCATCCCTGTCATAATCTTTGATAAAACAGAGATGACAATATGTTTTATACATTGATTTCGATCTTAGGAACCCGCGGTAAGTGTTTGATTAATATGTACATATATTTTATGTGATAATTAAAGGTTTACTCAAAGAGTTAAATAACGTATTTCATTTATATTTGATACGTATAACACGTATTCAAAATTATTTTTGTATGCAGCTTTTAAACATCGGTATCATACAAAAAGGTTTTATCGTGTACTAATGAACGATTCAAATTGTAATACTACATGTCCAAATATATCGCGGACAATATATTCAAATGAAAAATTAAAGTAACAAAAACATTATTTTTGATAAGGCTTTTTATACCATGTTCGTTCGAGATAAAGTTGATTTTTATAACTGTGTCTCCAATGTGCTTGTTAGTCCAAGTTTTTATATGCGTTTTTTTAAAAATTTGTTTACCATAAAGTTCAATGACCCAAGGTGACATTGAATACGCCATAAACAATTTAGGTTATTGAGATGAACATTAAGGAATATTGACAAGATGTATTTATTATTTAGATGCTTTGATAGTAATTTTTACTTTTTCGTCTCAATTACGTCGACATTTTATTTATAAAATCCAAACTGATTATGTTCTTAATCGTGATTAATAATAAATTCTATCCCGATTAATTCCATCAAAACATCGTTACATTTACAACGATTTAAAAAAATAACAAAAGCCAATAGTCGTGATCTGTTGGCAACAGTAAAGAAAGTGAGTCGGACAATTTCACTGGGGCAGAGCGACTGCGGGACTGACCTTACTGGGGTCATGCGCGACCTCGATACGTGAGTCGGTTATCGTTTCACGTTATTCATTTATCCATGAAACACGCAGTGTTAGTATACTTTAGTTACTTATAACTACGATTAAAAGTATAACGTACTATTATTGCTATTTTCTATAGGATATTGCATCTAATTTAGATATCTAAGGTATGATAAAATTATTGAGAAGTAAAACACGAGCATTTGGAAATACAAGACCGTATTAATACAAGGAAAATACCATTACATGTAATTTAACAGAGAGAGTTCCTCTCAGCTTACATTACAAGAATCTTACGGATAAGCCAAGTTCAAAAAAAAAATTACAATTCGCAAACTTGTTATGCCGTCATATGTTTATCTTAAACTTTATGACCCGGCAATAGCAATTAATTAGATGAAGCTTTTAACGTTATGTAAATATTATATCTTGTGAAATGGAGAAGTTTGTTTATCATTAAAATATTCGGAGTCTGTCGACTTTAGTGGTTATCTAGCGGTATCTTTCTGCCACCGAATAAAAAAACTAGTAAATAATATTGCAGATACTTAACAAGCTTTTGAGATTTAAAATGGAGGTCATGAATGGACTACCGGTGAATCATATAATGTCTTATGATGAGTCAGTGTATATAATGATGCGAGAAATCATTATTATAAGTGGTGAAGAATTCTAGACAACTAAAAGCTTTAAGACTTATTAGGAAATAAGTAAACAGTTACTCGAACATATTCAATTTTTTCTATGAAGTTGTTTTTTTATGAAGGGAATACTTTTGTCCACGTTGTAATGTGTTGTGTACAAAAAATTAATATGAAAGAAATTACATACCATCCGTGGACGTAGTCGTTACATCTGGTGCTTTTGTTGCAGTATCGACATTACTGGACCAGGTAACGAATGGAGGGAATTCAGTTGATGACAAAGAATTGGATGCTGTTGTCGATAAAGTAGTTTCAGTTATTGGATTAAATTCTTTTTCAGTTGTTGGTTCTACGGTTACTGCTTCTTCTTTATCTTGTTCCAGCGGTAAACTTTCCTGGGTTACTTCAGACACAACTACAGGCTGAGTTGTAGGTTTTTCTGTGATAATTTCAGTAGTTGGTGAAACATAAATTGTTGTCTCAGGTGCTTCAGTTAGACGTTCCGTTGGTGCTAATGTTGTGGTTGTAGTTAATGTTGTAGGGCTTAAAGTTGTAGTAGTAGTTGTCGTAGTGGTCATAGTAGTTGTAGTGGTAGTTGTTGGAACGTCTTCTGTTTTAGAGTTAGTAGAATTAATGATGGTGATGATAGGCGATGAAGGTCTTGTAAAGAGCGGCCTTACGCTAGATGATTGAGGAATTATTGTAATATTTAATCTTGGTGGCGAAGGTAAAGGTTTTTTGGTAGAGTGCCTTTTTGGTGGGGTTTTATATGGAGGTTTTCTTGTTGCATTATATACTGATATAGGTTTTGTTGGTCTTGGTTTACTACTTGGACTAAATTGTGGTCTTGTGAAATTAGTTAATGGTCGAATCGTAGGTCTCGGCTTGAATGGAGGTTTTATCGGTTTCCTAGATGGTATGGGTTTAGTGCTCCCCTTAGTAGTTGTTACAGTTGCTTTAGTAGTAGTATGTGGTGTTACCGTAGTACTTTCAATTTCATCATTTTTCACTTTGTCTGTTTCCAAATTCACAATATTACTAGATACTGTTTGGAAAGTGGAAAGTTTTATTGGTGCTTCTGTAATTGGGATAGCAGTTGGTATAACCTTTGTAGTTTGTTTTTGAGCTATATCTACGGATGTTGTAAGTAATTTATTATCCTCATTTTCGATTTTGTTATCGAGAGTTGTTATTTCATCGGATTTGGTTTCCAATACATCAGGATCTGTTCTATCTTGTGAACTTTCTGTTACACGAGACTCTGTTGTAAATTCAATAACCTTTTCTGTAGATGGTTTCTTTGTCGCTACACTAGTTACTTTGTTGCTTATACCATGAATTTCCAATTGTGGGTGAACGAAGTTTGCACTGTCAATTGAATTATCATCGATACTTTCAACTATTTGTGGAACTATACTTTTATCGGGCATTTGGCAACATGAACCGAAATAGAAACGGTCAATACAGGTTCCTAGGTGAGTACCGTTTGCTTTAAGGCAATCTATGGCAAACATGCATAAACCTTCTTGCGCCGATCTTCTTGATATGCATGGCAAGTGTCTTATATTTCTAGCTAGTGGCACTGGACCTGAAACAAAATTAAATTACATTAAATTTAATATAAATACAATGCGTTTTTAAATAATATCTAAACAGACTATGAACTTTTTACGGTGTTTATAAAAAGGGCTAAATGAATAGAAGTATGATGTTAAGGAATTAGGTACAGTTAGTTTTTATTATTATTTTAATATCTGTTCAATTATTACTTATGTTAACCGCCATCTATCGGCAGTAATAAAAATTATATTGCCTTCTTTAAAGCCTTACTTAATAAGTGTTTCGTAAACCGAACACTAGATGCCAATGATTCGTTATAGTTGTGATTTTACAGATTGAATTTATTTGAGTTGAAAGGATTATTTTTGCGTCTATTTTGCTTAGGCCTGTATCTAAATTTAAATATATTTATTTTACCAATAACAATTATTTAGTTATTGTGAACTTTCTATATAAAAGACTTCAACGCATAACGACTGAGTTAAGTTAAATTAAGTACATTTACGACACATGTGTAATAATTGGTAATTATGTCATTATAGGTAAAAATATTTTTTTCATTCTTATCCTCAATTATTTTTAATGAATTCCATAACTTTATAAAAAGTAAACGCATGTTTTATAAAATCTTCCTCGTTCCTGACATGACATACGTTGAATGTTACATATTTATCATAGATATATAATACAAATAAAGACTATTTATACCATGACCTCTTTTCGATGAAAAAACGAACTTAGTCTTGATCATATGTTGAGATCGCTAGAATATATTTCTTTGGACTCGTATTGTTGTACCGTTAACTTGATCTGTAGTGACAACGTCAACATTTTGGCATCTTAACCCACTTTTGAGCACTTTGATAGAAAAAGTTTTAGGACAATTATTTTAAATAGTTTATAAAAATGTAAAACTTAACAAGATTAATTCGATATAATTTAATTTACATGACAAATAAAAGACAGTCGAGTACGATTGAAATGTTTCGTATCATTTCTATGAGTTTAATATCACTTTCAAACATACACACGAAAAGATACCTTCAAATAATCCATTAATCCATCTAAAATTTCGCATTAGATAAGGTAAGATAGTTTTTATTATTCCTGCTGGTCATAATAGATAGAATGTTCAAGAATATAGCCACTAGTATATAAAATAAACAATAGACAGACTGATTACAATGAACAAAAATGTAGTGAAACAGATTAAAAAATTATATACATAAAAAAAATAACTTTATTCAAGTACAATGTAATGAATGCGTAATTAAAAAGATTCCAATCTTTTCCTTAAACGTATTAGCGTATAGTACATTCAACATCGCAAAAACTAAGGTCAATCATCTTGATCCTTTCAAACAAAGACAATTTAAAATAATGAAAATAGTAGAGAGTTTCAAAATGTTTTAGTCTTGTTCGTTATTTATCACTACGTAAGATTATTCAAACCAATCAATTTTAGAGTTCAGTTATCATGTAATTGTATAATAGTAAAAAATAAAAATACCTAATTGCGAATTATCTTAATTTGTATGGTCTTAAAACTCCATCTTTTAATTGTAAATACTTGTATTCTTCTGTCCATGATATTAAAAGTATCAAAGTCAAATGAACTATAAGCAAGTATAGTTTTAGAAAAATGTTATCAAGGGATCTTAAGGAAAGGTCATTGTACTATTTAAACTAACATTTTACTCACGGTTTTAGAGATAAGATGACATTAAGTCTAACAAAGTACGTGATGTGAGATATACTCATAAGAATCATGGCAATATTTCAAAGCATATATACATCTTACTATGTTTTGCAGCATATTTTTAGTGTATACGTTGGATTTTTCCAGGTCAATCTTAATGCGTGAGGACTGGGATAATTTCACTGTAGCCACCCTGGAAGGAGGAAGGCGCTCTGTCGGATCCAAATCGGAAGCTATGTTAGGTAAGCCTTTATTTGATTAATTTAAGAAAATTAATTTCTAGTCAGTGCAGTACTTAACGCTACACTGGATTAGACAGAAATCAATATATGTACGTCTAAGATCGAACCCCGTCATTTATCAATTTGGATTTAGATATTCGAATGTCATATGTATATTTTGGAAGGATAACTTCGTGGTTAAACCTACATATATTGGCGAAGAAATTCAAATATATGTGTGAAGTCAACCTGCACGGTTGACTATGGCTTAGTCTCCCTTAACTTGGGTAGGTACCAATGAGGACATTTATGAGCTAAGCCACGACTACAAATTGAATCCCCAGAAGTTCCCTTCGTTTTAGTTCAGTAGGAAAAAAATGATAAAGTTAACAAGTAAATATATTTATCCGGAATCCATTTCGTGCCTACATATTATCACTGAAACGCCTATCTGCCGTGACATAACACAATCGTATCGTATACATCCTTACAATGTAATGACGTAATTAAAAAGTCATAAAAAGTAGATTCGATCTTTGGTATGAGGTGCATTGACCGCACCCAATTTAAATAACCAAGTCGCAAAATATAGATTGAATTTATTTGAAAAAAATACAGCTTGTATATCTAATGAAAAAAAACTTCTTCGCGTGAAACGTAGTGAGTGTTTCTGTTGTGAATCAGCCCAATGGGATTTTTTTCCCCTTGGACTGAACAATCGGTGGGTCGATCAGCCCAACGGGAAACTTGTTATAAAAAAAAACTCCTGACATAGTGTCGTTGCCACGTCAGTCTTGGATTTAAATATAAAAAATGTATTTGTTATTAGTTTGAAAAAAAAAAACACATTGAGTTGCGTTTTCTTATAAACATCCTAGTAGCAATGCTAATACCATGGCGATTTTCTATTCATCTTGCATTATTTTCCTAACGTGGATTTTCACTGCTGAATGTTGGTGGTGTACAGCTTTGGTTTGTCTAATAAAAAGGAGTAAACTTTAAATTATGGCTTGGTAACGGAAATTCCCGTTATTAATAGCATCGCTAGCTTCAAAAAAATCATTATATTATGTCATTATTCACATGTTTCTAATTGAATTAACACGTCTGTAATTATAGCAAGTCGATGTGTAAGGTGCGGTGCGTGGGAATATCACTTAGAGATCTTTGGCCGGTGACACACGCGACCTACATGAGTCCTTTAACAAATAAGAAAGGAAGTGAAAGTGTGGCCAAAGCACGCAGACAATTTCTACGAAATTTTATGCATGTACCTGCCACGAGTACAAGTGCTTTGACTTTACAGATAGATTGAAATGTGGGGCGTATTTATACAGGCTATTTGGAATGCCTGTTGGGTAAAATATACTATGAATTAAATTTAGCTTAGCGCGTTAGCTGTGTAGTCCCTATGCCTTTGCTGAACGAATAGAAGATCCGCGTCGCCGATCCAACTTTGGATATACGGAGCGCGCGCTACGCGATACTTGCGTCGTGTTATCCGTTACGCGTCCGTCGTTTCCTTGGTCAGGTAACTTAAGTTGCCTGACCTATTTTTCAACAAATCTTAACTGGCTACAACTAAGTAATCTGTTAGGAAATATTTTTCATCATAAATTATTTGAAAATAATATTGAATGTGTTATTTTTTTAAAAGGTTTCACTTTCTGCGTTGATTGTTTTGTCGTGTTGTTAAGTAGTAAAGCCTTTACAAGGCATCACTAATCACCTTTCTCTGTTTACGGTAGCAGACTCCATTGTCACAATGTAAAGTGTTTTGTCAGTGTGTCAAGGTGTTACAAAATATTTCACGCTTCCCCTTTCTACACCATTTGCATATTTAAGTCAACTATTTAATATCTAGTCAATGAGCGTCTCTTCTTTCGACAATTTTTATCGAAGGTTTTTTTTAATTTGTTAATTGATTCTTAAAATTATCTCTTCACGCATTAAACTAAGCTATGAATTCTTTTCCTTAGAAAATCTGTTTTTTTGTGATGATAAATGATTGTTAATAAAAGTATAAACTTACTATAATAAATAACTAACCGTTACAAAATAAATGAATTAATAAATACTATATTAAATAAACCATATACTAAAACTAAACCAAACTAAATAATATAAAAATCGACCCCAAATCGCTGCGCTCGAACGGTAGGGTTCCCAACAGGCTGGTGGCATTTCCCCGTTGGATAACCAGGCTCAACCTTTGTCCGAAATGCGCGCCAGTCCTTGGATCCCCTGAGGCGTTAATAAAAGTTCACAAAAAGATGTAGAAATATATGACTAAGCTTTTAAATGCGAGAAAGCTGGTCACAGAGAGATGTCGTATTGTTTTATGTAACACAAGACTTAAACAGAAGAGAGGTGTGAGTCATCATAATATTGTTTTTCGAAGAAATAAAACGAAATAAATTAATTCATTTTATTATCTAATTATCGAAAATGCGCTGAATCATTAATTAAATATGTACGTTTAAATGAAAGAAAAATAATATAAAAAGTTACCTTGTAAATAATCCAAATTAAGTATCACCGGACCCGCGGCAACAGAGTTCAAATTTAAAAACACTTGAAAAAATATTAAAGCAACTGTAAAATTTAAACATATCACACGAAAATTGTTAACAATGCTTAATATTGAACATTTCGCGTAAATATAACTGTCACTGGGTAGCACTTTACTGTCTTCTTCATTGTTCTGTTCTCTTTTGATTCTGGGATGGCTGTAAGGCCACGTGTTCAGAGGTGGGCCCATTTTGAATGTGTATGCTTGCAGATTATCCCAATGCTATGAATGTTGCATTGTTTTGTAGACTGGAGAATTATCTGTAACAAAAAAAAATATTTATTTTTAGTTAATACTGTAAATTACATCTTACTAATGTTATAAACACGAATGTTTGAATGGACGGATAGATGAATATTTGTTTGAAGGTATCTCCGGAACGGCTAAACGGATCTTGATGAAATTTGGTACAGATGTATAACATAGTCTGGAAGACCACATGGGTTACTCATTAAGTTTTTTTTTAATTCCGCGCGGACAGAGTCGCTGGCGACAGCTAAGTGTATGTGTGTATTATGAGACAGCCCTATTCAATTGCTTAAGCATTATAAACATTGTAAATCTAAGTTATCATTCAAGTACTCAACATACCACAACAAGATATGTACACTGTATTTCCGTACTTGTATTGAATTACTACGTAAAGCTTCATTGATCAATACAACTAGCAGTCTTGTCAATGTAAAATTGTATATCTTTTATATTAAATTCAATTACAAAGTTTTTAACCTACACCTGACGTAAAATCAAACTTGAATTAATAATAACAATAGTAATTATAATAACACACTCGCTACACAGTTGGATTAAGGGCCCGATACAAAAGGCAGTTATCCTAGAAACCGCGCGCATCGTAAGAAGGTTCCTGTCTCTGCAGCCCTGACCACTGGTTGTTTGAGTGTTCTATTTTTAATATAATATGCTTTGTATAATATATATATTTTTTTTTTGGATATGAAATGTATTATTTTGGATATTTTATTAGAAATATGATAAATAAATGTATATTTTATAATAATAAGGTTTTATTATACACCTTTACTAGGTCTACCTGTATTAAAGGAGCCAATGACTTCCTATAAGTTACATTGCGTATGTACAATTTTTAAAAGTTGAGCAATAATTTAATAATCTAAAGAGAACAAATAATAGTAACTAGAAATTATATCAAAAAAAAGCTAAATTAGTTAAAAATTAATAAATGTTTAAGTGTACCAATGTGCGTGTATGTGTTGGGTATTCGAACGGGGTGTATGTGTGTGTCTGTGTGATTTATTAATAATGTGAATTATTTAATATGATCAAAAAATTGGATTTATGTTTGTTACCACGTAACTCAAAAAGGTTCAAAGAAATCCTGATGAAATTTGGAATATATATACATTATAGTTTGGAATGGCGTTCAGACAGTTTTTTTTTAAATTCCTAGCAGTCGAAGTTCGTGGTTGACAGTATTTCGTTGTAATTTTCCCTAGAATTTAATTTTCATCATACCTTTTACCCTTTACACACTAGTAACATTATAAACTGGTATAGTTGTCGCTTAGGTCTAAGTCTGAGCTATCTAGAATTCAGGAAGTGGCGAGTGACCAGACTGTACAGTTAAACGAATCTCGCACAGCCGGCTCGGCCTGTTTGCGCGGCGTTTAACATTCGATTCCTTTCCTACTTGCTATTTGTTAACATTACGACCTAAATATTTTAATATTGCTCGTTTGTTGTATATAATATTTATGTATCCCCTCGTAATAGTTAAAGCTATTTAAAGAGTGTAACAATTATATATTAAAGATAACATTGAGGGTTGATCGTTTATTAGAACGGTTGCTTCTATTAAAAAGTTTTCACTGGCACAAAAACTGGCGACGGCTAGTCTCTAGAACGGCTGAACGGATCTCGATTAAATTTGGCATACGTATAGAACATAGTTTGAAATAACAAATAGGCTGCACTAATTAAGTTATCTTATTATCTTCAAACACCTATCCATCCATCCACATCACATCCATCTAAACATTCGCATTTATAATATTAGTAAATTAAATAAAAAGCAGCTCTTCAAGACATAATTTCGAAAAAACATAATAATAAATAGTATCCTATGTCCGTCTCCTGGCTCTAAGCTACCTCCTCACTAATTTTTAACCATATCGGTAAAACCGTTCTTGAGTTATAAATAGTGTAACTAACACGACTTTCTTTTATATATATATAGAAGGATTGACGTTATATTTCTCGTTCATTTGTTTCATCGTAAACTCATCCTAAGTAACAATTGGATTTTTAAGCAATTTCTAAATATAGCTTCTACACTACGTAGTGTACGTGTTGTCTTTTGTGTAACCAGATAAATATTAGCTTAACTTTCAATCTGTCTGAGCATCAAATGATTTGTACATATATTTACTGAGAACTGTTAATTAATAAGGGTTAGTGCATTGAGGTCAGGCGACGCGGCGCCTCTAACGGTTCGTCATTTTCCTAGCGGACCAGTAGCAGTCATCTCGCCCGCACACTAACGCAACAAATACTTGAACAAACAAGTATTAAGTTATAGTCTATAGATTTTAGATTATCTATGGTATTATTAAGTAACATTTTTATAAATGGGCTTCTTAAACAACCTACAAGTATATTACATTCTAACCAGCAATTATATTATATATAAGGGGGTTTCGGGGGCGATAAATTGATCTAGCTAGGAATCATTTTTAGAAAATGTCATTTTATTCGTGTTTTATCGATAATCAACTTAAACATAAACTTAACTTTTTCTATCGGTAAGATCGAAAAATGTTATTCATATTTCATCATTTTATTAGTAATTCGTGCTTAAAGATAATTTCCAAAAAACAGAATTTTAAAAAAAGAAATACCGAGCGAAGCTAGGTCATCCAGCTACTTATAGTTAAAAGCGCCAATAGCCTAATGGCTAAGGGTACGGATTTCCGACCACGAGGTTAGTGGTTCGAATCCCGCCATTCGACTATTGTCGTAAACCATATCCTAGCACAAGCCTAGAGCTTAGTTGAAATGGTAAAAGAAATATTAGTAAATTTACAAAAAAATCTGCTAATATTTAAAAAAAAATATCAATTTCATCTAACCATAAAAAGTAATTAATCTTTGGATCAATCTTAAGAATTATGTGACCTTTAATATTGTCGTTTGTTAATTATAACCTCTGTTATATCATATAGAAATGAAACTTTGCAGGTTATAAGTGTAAACGTGATAATATACAAAGACTTAAGAAGATGTAACAGACTCCATTGTCGTTTTTTTTAAAGTGGAACATAATACTATAATATTAAATTCTCCTTACGTATTTAATTCAATAAACTGTTATGTAGAGAAATTTCAATTTATTTCATTTAATGAAATGTTTTCACTTATACTTGTAACAAATGAACATATGACAATAGGCGAAAGTGTCTGAACAATACATTGATGTGCAAATAGAAAAAGTGCACTTAGAAAGTGTTTCAGGCATTTTCTCATTTGTCACATCGATACAGGTGTTAACGAAGTTCTAAACGACAATACGTCCAGTTTGAATTTGTAACAGTTTCTAATAACAAAGAGATTTTAACAGTATCAATTTGTGAAGATAATTAAATTACGATGTTTCTATATGGGCTTCGCTTTTAGTCGATAAGTAAGTATATATTTGCTGTCCAAAGAAATCTATTAAAATACTATCTGTCGCCCGCGACTCCGTCCGCATAGATATGTAAAAAAAACTTAATTAGTTTAGCCTATGTGTTCTTTCAGACTATGTTCTATACGTATGTCAAATTTAATAGAGATCCGTTCAGCCGTTCTAGAGATATCTTCAAACACCCATCCATCCATCCACATCACATCCATCTAAACATTCGCATTTATAATATTAGTAAGAAAAAATAAATAAATAGTATCCTATGTCCGTCTCTATGCTCTAAGCTACCTTCTCATCAATTTTCAGCCATATCGGTAAAGCCGTTCTTGAGTTATAAATAGTGTAACTAACACGACTTTCTTTTATATATAGATTATTAAATAATTCTACATTTTATTTACTCTTTCATTTACATAAACCACAATGTTGTAAGTTATTACCAAACGCATCTTAAGTCCCATAATCTTTATCGAAAAGTAACTTACTGAAGCTTTAAAAAATAAATTCTTAATTTTTGAGTGTTCCATAGTGAAAGCACTAAGTAAGACTTTCAAAGATAAGCTTTTAGTGTTTTTACATGTTTTTACTTAATGTACTTAAATGTAACGTAAGTAAGAACCGGTTACATCGTAATGTAGACAATGTCTGCTTTGTGGCTGAACTAAAACTTTGTGCTTGTTTTAGTTTAGTTTTTTTAAAGCAACTTTACAACTAAAAAATTTCAATATTACTTTTTCTACTATTTGTCATTCTTTCTTATTATTTTTTTATCCATTTATTTATTTTATTTTTTTTTGTCTTATTGATATATAAAGTGCAAAACTATACCGAAATTTGCAGGTAGTAATTTCGATATAAAAAAAGATTTTACTAACTTTTTTCCATTCATATCGATTAGTTAAGTTATTAATTAATTCGATTAGTCTCGCCTTAATTGTCGAACTATGTTGTCTACATCGCGGTCATAGGAAAATGACCGATGTTCAATCTAAATCGCCCACGCGACTTTCACACACGCTAACCACGACAGGCCGCCGAACTGCTAACGGTCCGCGCGACTGACATACATAGGAACCCAGTATACACTTACCCAAGATTATACCAATGTATAGACAAATCGATCAGAACTCGAATTTACCCGTAATTTAAAAAAATATCACTGTCAAATCGATTGCCATGGCGACCATATACATAATAAAGTTTTAACAATACCATTATTTAGACAGTTCGTCCAATATAGCTAGTAAGATTATTAAGTGTCCATGTTCACAATCTTACAGTGACTACAGTGGCTGGGTATGTAAAAGGGCTACTTATAAAGAACAACTCAAAGCTCCATTTTGTCAAGCACACATAGTTCCACGTATCATGAGATTAGACTATACATATTGGTTTATTACATTAATTTGTATTCTTGTCTCGTGCATACGTTACATGCGGTTGTACAAGTTTTCTGAGATAGTTTTGTTAGAATTAGAGCAACCGAGGTGCTTAGTAGCTAGTACATTTAATTCGATGTAAACATGTAGTTTAGTATGGCATAATCTTCATTAATTATAGTTAAAATAGTTGTACAAAATCAGTCTGTTTCTCATAAGT